ATGCTCAACACCTTGCACTTCGTAGCGTTGAAATGAAGCAGCTTCTGAGTCAACCATTCGTAGACCCAGTCAAGATCATCCTGACGTGCTACATTGTCGCTGGTTGTCCTAATGGCTCGCCATATCTTGACATCATCAGCGAAGAGTAAGGAGTTGGAGGTGATTACTGTCGCGAGCTCCTTTATGTAAATCAGGAATAGTCGTGGACCAAGTACTGAGCCCTGGGGCACTCCGCACTTAACGTCGATTGGATCAGAGATGACGCCGCGAACTCTTACATTCAGATGTCGTTGAAGCAAGAAATTACCTATCCAACCGAGGATTGGGTCACCAATTACACAACAATGCAGTTTGTGAAGGAGGATACAGTGGTTCAGACGGTCAAAAGCCTTTGAGAAGTCCAGATATACTGCGTCAACACGTACGCCGCTGTCAACGGTCTCAGTCCAACTGGATCTAGCAAGTAGCAAGTTTGAAGTGCAAGATCGTTTCTTGCGAAATCCAGGTTGTTGTGCTATGATATTGCGTTCCTCCAAGAAGTTCATCAACGCTTTGGCAACAATCGCTTCCATGATTTTGGAGAGCACCGGAAGTAGTGTTATCGGGCGATAGTTGGCCGGATCTGTACGACTTCCTCCCTTGTGGATGGGAGTGATGATGCCCTGCTTCCACATTGTTGGCACCCGCATCTCATCGAGCCATTGTTGGAAGAATTTGCAGAGTGGGTCCGCCAGGTTTACTGCAGCCAATTTCAACGCTTTTGGACGAATATTATCAACGCCGGGAGAGGTATGCTCACGCAAAGCAATTAGCCTTTTCATAACATCCGCACTCGTCAACACAATGTGGCTAAGTCCTGGTGGTGGTACAACGATCTGGAACAGTGTATGCGGCGATGTCGTGCTCTGGACGTTCGGGGCGAATTGATGTTGCTGTGAGCACACTTGTTAAGTAGCCTCGGACCAGGACTGAAACAGTGCATGGACAGTGTTAAATGACTTGTTCGCTAGCTTCGTTTCAATAACCACCAATTCGATTGCTTCTCCAACCCCTTGACAAAAGCTAATGACAGTCCGTCAGGTTCGGATGCAACAACCCTCGGACATTGAAGAATCGTACAACATGAGTTGGTAGCTAGGGAACTGGTTTAAGCTCGACAGTTATTGATTAAAACATATCGGTATACGCGACGAAAGTTTTGGACGTAAAGAGCACAGCAAAGTACTTCAATCTAGACAGACAATGTCTCCATAGTCCGCAGTCACAAGCATCAAATCCTACTCAGCCCACGATCGCTGTCTATCGATTGGCTGCTGCTTCATCAGTGTAATCCGCCATGCCTTGGTACACGTGTCGGATATGGTACCGGCACACTTAAAGAGTTCCGACTGGCTGTGTGACGCCTGCACGCGTGATAAACAAATTCAGATGGTTGACTTGAGTAGCAAAGAGAAGAGTATCAACGTGATTGAGTGAACGTACTTGGTGACCGGAAAAGAAAACGAGCACGCGGTGGTGATTTGCAGGTTACTTATCAATGAGTAACTCGCAGAAAAGTGACAAACGTCGGCGATGGTATTCTGCCCGATGCAGACCCCAGTTCCGCGAACAGTTATAAAAACAATAAGCCAGATGGTATGTGAATTCGAAAGATCGGTGCGAGACGGGAGTTCTTCACCCCGGCGACGATGCAGTTGTCCGAATCAGTGGCAACACCCCATGGATACATGGGAATAAGGCGAGTTCAAGTCAAAAGGCTTGCCGGCGTCAGACGCCGCTGAACACATGCGGTGGAGCACCTTCTAGTTATTAGTTAGTAAAACTTGGATGAATCGTCACGAAAATATCATGGCACAACATAGACACTGTGTAAATGTGGGAACTTGTGAAGACTACGAGTGTGTGAGAAACCGATGACCGGAACCAGAATCAACTCTCGGATGCCATGGTTTTATGGCAAGCCAGATACCAATGTAGTAGTGTAGCTATCGAGGTATGTTATTTCACTATTCCGGATACGGCAATACGAACAACATCAACTGTTGGAGGGCTCCAGCATCGAGGTTACGGGGGTTCTTTTGTGATCGAGTTACCCACCTCGACTTGAGAGGTTGGCGCATACAGAACCAAAAGCTCCACGTCAAGTGGAGTCACAAGCGCAACTCGAGACCACACGCGACGCATTGGAAAGCAGAGAATATCTGGAGTTACACATATTTAACAAAGATGCCGAAAAGATAGCCGAATCGGTAAATCCCTGCGATCGTTTACAATAAGCTGCCAGACAATCGGAAACGACCAATCAAGAACCAAAGTGCCAAGAATGGCGCTTCTTGAGGTAAGTAGCTGAGTGTTTATGATACCCCATTTGTGGTGTGGCCTACCAAATGTGATTCGAACAGGGCACGGGATTGTCAGCCACTATTCCGTGCCAACGGGAAGTTGACCAGAGATTAGACCCAAATATCAATAGGTTGTGGGCTCGATTCCTGACAGAGCCGGGAAAGGTGTGCTACCGGGGAATTGCAATAGGATGAAATGGTTGGTTGATGCTTTTCCGAATATGTGGCAAACGGCCTGGCTCGAAGCTCAGTATGACGAATCATCTCTGTGATAACCACTCACTTTTACTTCGTCCAACCCAAACTGAACAGTGAGGACGTTAGTGAGGCTGCACCGGGCTCCTTCGTGGTTGAATGCGTTAGCAGCACCTCACTTCCTCTGGACACAGACAAAAGCCGACCTCAACAACTTCCGATGCAGTACGGCCACTTCCAATTAGTCATGAAACTACAACACTGTGATTGTATTGGACGAGTTTCGGTGGCTGGATTCCCTAAGAGACCGTTCCGAGGCAGTGGGTAGAAAGATTTGAGCAGTACAAGAGAATACCAGACAAGTTCAATTCAGATCGAACGAGTGGTGCATTTCAGATGGTAATCGCAGGAGACACGCCCGCTACACCGAACTGGGTGGTGAAATAGCCACTGCACGCACACGAGGGGAACATCGAAGGTGGGCACGTCGGTGAAATTCATTCATTCACTTAATCCTTTGTGTCCTGGCGGTACTTATAAGTACCAGTTTGTTTAAATTGTAATACTGCTTTAAATGTAAGCGTTATTCTTGCTGGTACTCGCAAGGATACGTACAACTGTCTTCTGTCTACAATTAGGTAAGGGCCAGAACTCTGATTCTTTGCTCTGCAGTGTGTGGAGTTAACTTGCGTGGTTCATATCGAGCGTGGTCAGAAATCGGTTCCAGAGAACTGTGAGTGGTTGCTATATGTATTAAAATTTAGTTGGTTTTGGAGCAGTTTGCCAGCCCTATTAATTTTTATTCATTTTGGTAGTGGACATGCCATCATTGGATATATTTATTACACGATGTTAAGCGTAATCCGCATTGTACTGATTCAACACCTATGTTGGTACCAGAAAGTACCGACAGGCCTCAGACGCAATATTAACAGTTAGTGCATTTACTGGGCATAAAGATGGGGTGCCGCATAACATTTAGAGATTTGAACAATTTATTTTTGTAACAGAAGTACTTTACTTACTACTTACTTACTTACTTACTACTACTTACTTTACTTGTAGTATTGCGTATACATAGGTTTCGATATGGATGTTTCTTGAAATTTTTATTTTGCGTATAGTAATGGTGTCAAGCTGATATGAGTGGTTATATTTATGAGTTTGAAGTGTATCAAGACAAATCACAGGACACTCCTAATTCTGTAGATATATTTGGATTGGGGAAATGTGGACGGACTCACCCAAACTCTGAAAGGAAGTGGTTATGCTGTTGTAATGGATAACTATTTCACATCTGTGAAATTAGTTGAGCATCTGAAGGTGAACAACATTTGTGTCTGTGGAGTTGTTCGTCCTAACAGGAAACATCTTAAACTTTAAGAAGACAAGGAGATGAAGAGAGGTGATTTTGCTTATTGTTTAAATATATATATATATATATATATATATATCAATGAATTGCGTTCTTCAAGTGGAAAGACAACAATTGTGTCCATCTGTTGTCCAATTACCATGGAAGTGAATCAGTTACTGTGAGGCGTAAAGAGCGGTTTGGAACAATGGCCGACATAGTGGCACCTAAGATAGTGCAAGATTACAATTCAGCCATGGGCGAAGTGGACAAAACAGATATGCTGCGCCCAATATTTAATTATAATAGGAAATCGACAAGTGGTGACTTTGACTGTTTTTCGCAATGATAAAAATGGGGCCACGTCAATGTATATGTGAGGTATAAAGGACATGCATCATGACATCTCATTGATGGAGTTTCGAAGCAACTGGGCAAAGAGGCTTGTTACCACAAGAAGCAGTGCAAGGAAATAGAAACCGTCCATCACTTAATACGATATTGTCAAACGAAGTAAAGAGAGGAAAGAGAAATAGATAGTCTTTGCCTAAAGACGTCAGGACACAGAAACATGGCGCTCACTGGCCAATGTTTGTTGCAGAAAGGGGAAGGTGTGAAATGTGTTTTAGTTGAAAAATCCAATCTAGACCACATGCAAAATGTTCTTTTTGTGATGTTATTTGTGCTAAATGACAAAAAAGAACGACTTTCAAGAATATCATTTTCAATAATGTACCTCCATGGTGACAACGTTGATGACCTACGTTCCTGTCGGTATTTACAAGTATCACCATAAAAATAAACATGAAAATGTTTACAACAGTTTGATTTCTTTCTTTTTATGTTTATTACTAAGCAAAAGCTATTTTATGACAAAAAATAATGAAAGTCTTACAGGTAAATTAATCCAGGATTCAAAGAGTTAAGTTGCGTGTCGCTATGTGATGCCAGTCAATTCACACCGGATGTGCAACGAATGCTAGCGAACTGTGGTGAAATGCAGTAAAGTGCGTAGACCATAAGAAAAACAACGAAAAAAAACCGCCAACTGTCCGCGGAATGATGCACATGTGTGCGACCGAGAGTGAGGTTGAAAATGCACGACGCACCTGTAATTGATCTGTGAGTTCAGCGTCCAAACGAATGGCGGAAGTCAACTCTGCATCGCGTTCCAATGCCAATTGTTCCTCCGAGCTTTCCAGGAAAGTGAGAAATTCCGCATGATCATAGTGAACTTCGGGAGGAAGGCGATGTTTCGAAGGGCTAGTGAAGAGGGAAATGGTAACAATGATTGTCAAATCTGATACTTTCAGAAATAGAGAGATGCATGCAGACCAACAACACACATACAAAGCAACAGAGTGTGGGCAGAATTCGCCCATAAAGTGTAAAAAGCAGTTCAGTTCAGTTGCTCAACAATGATCAGAGCACCGAAGTGCGGTGGATCCAGTTGCCACCACTCACAGCGTCAAGATAGTGGGGTTGAAAGCAAATAGAATGCAAAAAAGGTGGAATCAGGAAGGAATTGCGTTGAACTAAGCAGAATGGAACGAAAATCAACAGCCAGATGCAAGAAACCGAATGCAGGAACGCCACTGGCTTCGTGAATACGTCATGTCTGACGCTGTCTCCAACCAATGATGTGGATCGTCCCGATGCCCACATCCAGGAAGACGGCAGGCACCAGCCAGACCAAGTCTCTCAATCAATTTCTTCAAGCTTCTATGCCATGTCAAGGACGGACCAACTTGGTGCAGCCAAGGTGTAGGATGCACGCTGAGGAAGCCGGTCAACGGCCATACGTAGGACATGGCCTAGCCAACATAAGCGATTAAGATTCAGCAAACACTCCAGTGAGGCACCAGAAGCTTTCTTGCCAAAAACCAACTGGCGGACCTCAATATTGCTCACCCGATGTTCCCACCAGACGTGAGCAACACTCCGCAAGCACCATTGGTCAAACACGGTCAAGCGTTTAATGCCTTCGCTGTGAACTGGCCAGGTCTCTGATCCATACAGTAAGACCGGCCTTACCGTAGCGTTATACACCCTACCTTTCACTGACAGACTGATATCCCGCCGTCTCCATAGATGGCTGAGTCTATGAAAAGCCCCACGGGTCTTGCTGTGAAGCGAACTAACTTCCTCAGTGATGTGATCGCCAGAAGTGACACGACTACCAAGTGAACAGGTCCACCACGACAAGTGGTCATTCGGTGATAGCTAGAACCGGAAGTGTGTCGGTTCAATTCTGAAGCAGTACTGTGCAATTTGAACATGCATAGCACATACCGAAGCGTGCATAGTCACTGCGTCGGACACAAGGAGAGATATGTCGTCCGCATACTCCAAGTTTGTTAGTCGGTCACCTGGTAGAACTTCCACTCCGGTAGAGTCTGAAAGAACGTAGTCGCTCATGATCATTTCGACAACAAAATTGAGGAGAAAAGAGGATATGAAGCAACCCTGGCGAACCCCACTTGTCGTGGGGAGCTCAGGAGACACCTTCCCGCAGACAATTACACGGCCTCGGGAGCCACGGTAGAGAGACTTAAGAACGGAAAGAATTTCGCCGGCACGCCCTTCATAGATAGGCAGTGTCACAAGCGGGCACGGTCAACAGAGTTGAAGGCAGCTTTCAAGTTAAGGAAAACCACCATTGTCGGTCGTCTGTATGTGTCGGTGCCCCAACACTAGTCGAAAAATAAATATGTGGTCGATACAACTACTACCAGGGATTTCAGTGATTTGGTTCTCACAGGAACCAGTAAGTCGTCGGATAATGATACCCGTGAGGAGTTTGGATGCAATGGAAACAAGGCTGATGTCTCGAGGATTTATTCAAAAGCAAGAGCAGGTTGGAGAAATTTACACCACCAGTGTTCGTTAACCGAAGTATGACTTACTGACATCTGTTAGTGGTTGAGTCACTACCAAGCTGTGATGACGAACCTGAGCTGTTCGTCGGTTCGATTGGATCGGTGACCAGGGGACAAATTGGCGCAAGTGGAGTATGTGTGTCTGCGCACAACTCATTGGAGAGAGTTTCTCTGGGAGAACTTGTTCGTGGTGGAGGACACGGAGAAGAAGTATCTAGCTCAGCACGCGGTGCATTGAGTTCCGGCTCCCTGGATAGTTGAAGTAACAAGGGACATGGAGTGCAAAGCATTTTCTGGCCAAGAAGGCGTTTCGTTTCTGACATACCCACTAGGTCTACAAGGTGCAATTCAAACTGACGATCCAATGGGTCTTCGGCCTCGCCCGGTTTGCGACTATGGGATTTGACATTCATTCCTGGCGCTATCACTGATGACTGAGCGTCAGTAGGTGAGCATCGGTTGCAAATCAGGTTGTTACGAACGGCCCGGGTGAAACAACGATGAATCAACTCTTTATGGCGTTTAGCTCGACTAGGAGCTTTGAATGGAGCAGCGATAGAATAGTAAAGCTGCGATATGTCGCCCATTGGACGTCCAGGAAGCTAAATAGGAGCAGGCAGGGAAAGGGGAGAAAAACGGAGCAATGTGTGTGCGTGAAAGCAAACACAAGCAAAGTAGGCAGCAGAATTATAGGTAATGGAGTGTCTTAATGCAAAGACTCAGAAAATACAAGATGATGAGCAGGATGATTGCGCAGCTAGCTGAAGATCGAATGTATTCCATAGGCAAATAGAAAGTGTATCTGGAAGAGAATGTGTTATTTGACTTCTAGAACCACTTCAAACGAGCAATACAACTGCGAATGGAGAATAGGAGGAGTGCCATCGGGAGGGCAGCGGAACAAAAGCTAGATCTCACAGCTGATCCTAAAAATGACTGGGTCATCAATACACACGAAGCAACGAGACAAAAAATTCCAAGTCTAACGGTTGCTCTGTGGTCCCCGTAAACCTACTCGTTGGGTTATTATCATCGTGTTTATCATCATTGTCGCGGTCATCTTTAACAGAAACAATACCTTGCGCTGACGTCTCGCTGTCATGCAACAGTGAAAGCTGTATCAGTAATGGATAAAAGTAAGAAGGCGCCTAAAGGTTAGAAACAAGCCAAATCAAAATAAGCTTGAAACACTTGTGAAGGGGTATTTTCAGCAATTTAAACGAACACTATGGGTATACTACAACACACCAAGAAACAAAGTGACGAAAAAGAACAGAGAGATTGCATTTTCAATCAAGAAAACGGTCTCGTAACTGATGCATCAATGCTTTCGGGTCGACTAACAGGCGACACAAATAGGGCAAGGTGGAGTTGCGATACGACGAGGTACGTCAGAACAAAACCAATTTTTACACCTTATAGTGGTACTAGATACCGTACTGGTTTGAACGATGTGGGGGGGGGGGGTTAGAAAGATCGTTTGAGATTTTTGGTGAAAAGTTGAAGCACACGTCAACATGCATGCTGACGAGAAAATACACAATGAATTCTTTGCATAATTCAGATCATTGGGAAAATGTTGTGAAAAATAACAGGGGAACGGGATAACGGATGGGGGAGAATACATGCACTTTCGAACCTTAAAATTAGAGCAAGGGGTACGGAAAGCATTTTCAGCCTGAGTGCGCGAGAGGATAAGCTTCTGACTTTTTGAAAAGGTTCGAAAATTTGTGTATCGCAAGACAAGAGAACACCGTGATACTTTACAGTGGATAAATGAGGGATTCTTTGGTAGCTCACGACCGAAGGAGCAGAGGTATTTAAAAGAGAAAACTATGGAGAGAAAAAATGACATGTCAACATTTGAAAGGGTTAAGTGAGATGGACCGCAGGTTTGATCAAGTCCAGAGTCCAACGAATCATCCTGCGCTGTCGACTTTTACTGCCCCAAGTCATAACCAATTCTCAGTAGCATACGAAACCTACACCGAAATCAAAGTTAATATCCGTGTCAGTTCTGTAAGTCCTCGAACTAAACACAAAGTGCTCGCGTAGACTCCAGCCTAAAAGGTAAGACGGACGAATGGAACCCAAATTAATCACCGGTGACATCATTTCTCGCCGTCAAATCAATTTGTGCACCCACTACAGTTTTACGCCATCCTGGATCCTATAAACACTACAAAGTACTCCTTGGCAAACAAAGAGGGGACATGTATTGCAATCGCCCAAACAAGTGCAAATCATCCAGTAAAAGCTGTTGATCAAACGAAGTGACCTGAGCGTCACTGCCTAGTACTCGGCTGCGCGCCTCATTGTCGCGAGTACGCCGAAGTCAACCGACAAGGGCAATGCTCCGGAGGCAACGATGAGCCAAGAGTTGAGGATTCTTAATGCTCTCAAACCCCAGGAGCCAGTTTCAGTAGAATAGCGTAGAATACTCGTCATGTCGGTCTCGTGTTCGCGGTCCCCAGAAGTAAGTGAAATCCCTTTCTGGTGTCAAAGCAGTTGCAGATCCATAGAAGGTAAATGGGCTGCTGATGAAGCTTACAACGACCATAGGGTGGGTGATCGATCAAGTGGGGCTTGATCCTGCACACAGTGGTACGGAAAAAAAAACGGAATCGTGCGAAGCATACCGGGCTCGGATGAAACGGCGCGTAGTATGGACGGCTGAAGATGAATTCATTACAATGAATTAGACTGGACAGAAATCTGGTAGAGAAAATAAGCGCCACCGATAGAGGCAGAATCTGTCTTACTCGAACGCTTTCCGACCAAGAGTTTTACTTAACTCAGGGATTTGAACAACAAATGATATCATGTGTTATCAATGTTGTTAGCCCATCTGTGCGACACTAATCTCGTTGATTACAATCAGAAAACAAATAGAGTCAAGTAACGAACCGGATAGAAGTAGGATTTCAATCACATGATCATCAACGCAATTTGGCTACTACATCGCATGGCTAGTAGGCCACAGGTAGAAATGTGGTAGAAGCTGTGCTCGAGAAATGGAAATTCTGTCGTTTCGTGTAATGAGTTCGTTGACGACGCGGAGAAAATCGGTTGGAGGGTTGATGTACGGATACATACGGTTTGTGGCAAAAGTGTAAGCATTTTCCTTGTCGACACAGTTAAAAAGACATGCATTCGATAACAGCAAGACGTTAAAAGGTTGTAGTATACAGTGTGCTAGGGTGGATCGAGTGAGAGGTCATTAGTAGGTTGGTATTGACTGGTGCTGGACAGCTGTATACGATCGAAATCAACCATAAATGTATAACAAGCAGGCGAAAAGGTGTGTTGCTTCGATGAGCGCTGCTGCTAATTGAGCGTAACACTAGGGATGCAAAAAAACAAGCAGGCCAGATTGATTTAATTCCCCAACACTTAGAAAAACGATCAGCGGGGATGGGCAAACATCGCGACTGTGTCCGGTTGGATAAGGCGTTGAGCCACCGTCTTGACCTATCCCAACGAATCCATGCAACAAGACGGTATACACTAGTTTGACTCGGTTCATCTGTTGGTTAGGTCGCCGCTCTTGGCCGTACGATTAGTATATTATTGAAATTAGTGAAACGATGGGTATGGATTGAAGTTTGAACGTGATACAAGCAAAGAGCCATTGTATGTCCGGGAAGGTATTAGCAGCTTCTCTGTTCTGGAACTCGCCATCGGTACTCATTCAAACTGCCCGATGAGGAGCTAGAACCCGTCACCCGGATGGACGGTAACTGCCGAAAGTAAAACGTGGTGGACTCCAACTTCTCACCGGTTAGATGGAATGCGCATTAATGATGACTCGAAAGGAGGAAACAGTTTTCCGGGTCCTGTACTGGCTGCCTGACTGAGTGCAGAGCTGTGATGAGTTTTTTCTTCCAAAGAATTGTATCGACAAAAATAGTAAGAAATTTAAAATGTTTGCACAATAATTAAAATTACATAGGAGTAGTAGGGGGAGTTGAATGGTATAAGTAGAAATTCATCACATCTAGAGTCACTCAGACAGCCGTCACACGCCCGGAAAAGCACTGTACGCGCGTTTTATCCTTTCGGGAATCGTCAGAAGTGCGCATTTCATCGGACCCTGGTAGGACTCGAACCCGCAACTCGACTGTTGCTAGTTCGTGGTTAAAACCACTGAGCTACGGGGGAGGGCAACGACCACTGTGAACAAGTTACTAGATGTGATATAGCGCCGCTCACTATCCACTGACTTACACGTAACTGTCGTGCAGAGGACAGGGTAGCCCCCTTCATCAAGCGAGGAGCTTACCAAACTTAAGCCGCCAATTAACTTATGACATTATAAGCAGTTTGGTCTGCGTACTGATTAAACAAGTTAATTGGCGGCTTAAGTTTGATACGTTTGTCGCTTGGTGAGGGGGCTACCCTGTCCTCTGCACGACAGTAACGTGTAAGTCAGTGGAGGGTGAGCGGCGCTACAGCACATCTAGTAACTGATTCACCATGGTCGTTGCCGTCCGCCATAGCTCAGTGGTCTCAACCACGGACTGGTAACAGTCGAGTTGGGGGTTCGAGCCCTATCAAGGGTCCGATGAAATGCGCATTGCTGACGATTCTCGAAAGGATGAAACGCGCGTACAGTGCCTCTCTGGGCGTGTGACGGCTGTCTGAGTGAGTATAGATGTGATAAATTTCCACCTAATAATTAAAATCACCAGATGGTTAGGCGTCAGAACTAACCCAACGAAAGCGAGTGATCCACCGAATTCGTGACTGCACCATATACCGTCAGACTGTCTGACACCTGATGATACCGATCCCGAGACCTCCATACTAAAAAGTAAAACGCATCAGCCTCACTTAGACCTACATGTTTTTGCTTTAGGTCTTTTTATCATGTCACTGACTGATCATATCGGGGTTACACTCGACTAGCTGCAGTCAATGGTAAACAGTATAAGCCAAAGCTTGTAAGTAGGTAGGGTGCATGACCCAGCGCGAGAAAATGGACGAGGAGTGGAAAATAGATTTAGTAGCACCCGTGTGCTAACTGACTGGGGGCTGCGCGAAGGTCATCTGAAACCCAACAACCGTTTGTTAGTTGCCTTATGTCGGAGAGGTGAGGAAGAATGAGTGTCTCCCAGAGAGAAATGCAAAAAATGCAAAACAAATGAAACCACACACAGTTCTAGCAAATCTGTGGAAGATACACAAAACGGCTATAGCATGCCAATCAACCAGCCAAGAGCATGGTAAAACTAGGGACAAACCGCAAACTGGACCACAGATAAAACTACCAATCTAGTTGAATGTACTCTAAATATCCCTGAGGAGTGTAGAGTTACCTCGCCCAATCAGCTACCATGGGCATATCAGAAATACAATTGGCAGGTAACGTGACACAGGAGTCGTTCGGCTTGTTTACATCAAAGGACGCTAACGAAAATGTAGCCAGGAAAATTAGTAGAACAGAGTGGGGATATAGTGAGGGTTAGAAAGCAGCAAGAGGACGTATTCCTGGCCAAATGAAATATGTAACTGAACAAAACACTTTGCGAGTCGGAATGTAGTTGAGTCGGTACCGGAATTCCTCACAGTCAGTGTAAAAAGACTGAACAGGTTTAATGGA